AAACTCACCCAGTGGCTCCTCTGAAGAAAGACCTATTGATCTGTTCCTGTTGAGAATACAGCCTACAAAACTCTATAGGGCAGTTCTACTCCATCACATGGGGTCATTATGAGTTAAAATCAGCTTGACCGCACCTTAACAACAAATATTGCACAGGCTAGAACTTCCAGTGTGATGTTGAATACTAGCAGTGAGACAGAACATTATTGCTGTCTTCCTGATATTATGGGGAAAGCATTTAGCCTTTCACCCTTAGGTATGAGGTTATATATAGATTTATTTATAGATATTCTTTATAGAGTCGAGGTAGTTCCTCTCTATTCCTAGTTTTCTGAGTTTTTAATCAAGGTGTGGTTTTCCTGGTTCTTGGTGTGAGGGGTTATTTTCTATGGTATCCTTGACATTTTGGCAGTTATATTTGAAGACTCTGGGTCTTATTTACATTTTTTATTTTAACAGGCAGTCATCCTGTTTAGATTTAGCATGCAAGTGCTGACCAATTTTTGTGGGCTGCAGTTCCAGCAAAACTAATTTTCAAAGCTTTGCAGTGCAATTTTGGTTTATCTGGTGTCCCTGGGGCCCTGGTCCCCTGATCTCTGCTGATACTTCTTGAAAGGGCAGAAGGAGATTTTCCCATGCTAGTCTGCTTACTCACTGTAGGAGAAGGGAGTCTCCGGCCCATGGAGATAGCCCACAGAGGACATGGGCCATGTGCTTGTTTTGACAGTACCCGCCTTGCTGGTATCTTTGAATATGTCGTGTCTCCAGCAGAGAAAAGGAAGTCTCAGGCCTGAGAGGGAAAAAAGTACTTTCTCTGGCCACTTATTGACAAAGGTGCTCCTGACAGATTCCCTTGGCTGGTACTGTGGGACTTGCCTGGTCTTGTCAATGAGACTCTCGTCAATCCAGGGAAGAAATCTGGGCTGCCTTTTATTATCAGTTTGAGGTCTGGAAACACTGGGTGTGGACCATGCCCTTCCGCGTTGGGTGTGGTGGGGGATGGAGGAGACATAGGACACTCTGCCTCTGTGCTAGTCTTCCAGTCTTGGGGTTACAAACCAGCTCACCTTGCTCTTAAAAACCAATTGCTGTTGACACAACTCTGACTCATGGAGACCCCGTGTGTGTTAGAAGTAGAACTGTGTTCCATAGGGTTTTCAATGACTGATTTTTCAAAAGTAGATCACCAGGCCTTTCTTTTGAAGCACCTCTGGGTAGCCTCTAACCTCCAACTTTTTTGTTAGAAGCCAAGCCTGTTAACTTTGTTTACCACCCAGGAATTCCCACCTTTCTGTTAACACTGTTCAAAGTCTCCCCCACCCCACCCCCACCCCCCTATTGTTTCCTGCATTGTTTCCAGGTGAGGATCAGGGAGAAATGAGTCTACATCTTCTTGTCCTGACCTAAAGTCTTGGTCTCATTTTTTCCCTCTGATTTCCTGTCGCAATAAATCGAGTATCTCTCTTTGTTTTTCACTTCTTTTGCCCTGGCTTCTTTCCTTTTCCATTTTATTACTTCGAGTTTGTTTGTTTCTTGCTCTCCACCAATTCTTTGATTACCTCTGCTCTAGAAGTTTCTCAGCCCTATCGGGTTACTATACACTGTATTCGAAAAGATTCTACAAGGCAGGTTCTGACTAGAATAGTAACCAATTTGCAAAACGAAATACCATGCATAAAAAAATTTTAATCCTGGCACTAAATCCATTTTACTTGCTGAGAAACACCCACTATAAATACGTTTTATCTCTACTATCATTGAGCAAACATCAAAACTATTTCTTGTTTATTTATTTCATAATCAGAACATTAGTACAGTGAGAGCTGACTTCACCTGTGTTTAAATAGAACTTATGTCATCGCTGTGCTTGCAGCTCTCTGTCAAAGAGTTCCAAAACACTCTTTGACAGAGGGGATTGACTTTGGGCATGGCAAGTGGGGTAAAGAGAGCTGCAACTACAGAGAAGATGTTTGGTCTGCTCATCCTCAGTCGTAGATCGATCATCACCTTCCATGGATGTGCTTTCTGATCCTTAGATTACATTCTCTTTCTCATTCCCTGTGTTCTCACTGATCTGTTATTTCCCCAATCTAAGCCTCTTTACGGAGCCGTGGTGGGGTAGTGGTTAAGAGCTCAGTTGCTAACCAAAAGATCAGCAGTTCAAATCCACCAGCTGCTCCTTGGAAACCCTATGGGGGAGTTCTACTCTGTCTTATAGGGTCGCTAAGAGTCAGAACGGACTGGATAGCACCTAACAACAACAACAAACCTCATTACATTGTGTTGCTAATACTTAATCAATTTTCTGACTTCCCTGTCAGAATGTAGCTACATGTAGAGAGAGACCACAGTGACCTTTTCTTCATTATGTTCTCAGGCCTTTGTATAGCTTCTAGCATATTATATGCACCCAATTAATACCTATTAAATGAATGAATCAGTTTTCCGTTGTGTATTTTTTAAACTTGTCTTTACATTTAATAGTTTGTGATCAGTTTTCTTAAAACACATATAACTCTTCTGTACCATGGAATATAGCTAATAGTCTTCTGCGTTCCCTGCCTTTGAGACAAGGAAATTATAGCAATAAACATCCTTTCTGTGGCTGCAGCTCTGTAACCACTTGCCATGCCCAAATTTGCTCTCCTCTGTCAAAGAATGTTCCAAAAACAGATGTTTCCTCCCCTGCACTGGAATTTAGAGCTCTTTGGAACTGTAGCCATTGGTGACTATAATCCCAGTTGTTCACGGATGGCTGCCTTGATTACTTCTAGAATTTCTAAAACAGCAATATGATTACTAATGGACATGAACACCATGGAGTTCCTGTACAAGCTCTCTGACTTGACAAAGTGAACCTTCTGGGGCCCTTCCACAAGCTTGGATGCTGTACACTAGCAGGAAACTTAGCATGTATGTTATTTATTTTGTCCATTTTTTATTTTGGTGTCAAGTCTGGGGCATAGGGACTATGAAGAGAAAGACTGACAGAAGATGGAAGGAAAGCAGTGACATGATTATACTACAAGACCTTGATTAAGAGTTATGCTTTATACTGAGGATAAAGGAGAAACCACTGGAAGATTGTGTGCGAGGGAGCAGCCTGATCATATTTTGGTTTAGAATTGTCACTTTGGTTGCATTGTAAAGAATGAATCGAGATATATTCAAACAGTAACAATGGGTAAGTCCCAAAGTGTGTAGATTGCCTGTCATAAAGGTTATGTGCCAGGTACTTTTGCAGGCTTGTTCCTAAGAAGGAACACTTCCCGCATGTGAATCATCAATTCAACCAGTGGGGATTTCCACTGAAGCATTACAAACTGATTAACACAGCTCTGTGAGCAGGAACAAATGAATGCATTTATATGTTTTCACACTAGTGGCATAATGACTGCTGTTATTTTTACTTTTATTTTCACTGAGCAGTAACAAGAGAGTAACAATTAATATTAAGCATTTGCTATGAGTCAGACACAGTGGCAAGAGATTTTCGTGTGTACTCTCACTTGAATCTTAAAATTAGCCAGTGAAACTGGTATTATTATACTCATTTTTCATGTGAGGGAACTCTCCTTGAGGGGCTGTGTAATTTATCAGGGTCACAGCTGTAAAGTAATGGAGTCCATGCTTTAAGTACGTGGTTCAGAAGCTAGTTTGTAAAAGAATAGTCGGTCAGTTAGGGTCACAATTTGACTCAACTTTTATATTTATGAATTAGTCACTCACAGAGTTTATCAATATAAAATCTTGCTTTTTAGTTTTCAGATTTCTGTAGAAATCTAGATTTCTTTGTGAAAAAGTTAACAGAAACTAAGCAAACAGGGCAGAGTCTTACAGCTATGAAAGCATCATTCTTTCTTTTTGAAGGTCACAGAACAATCATAATTTTTCTCATTGATTGCTAAGATCTTTTTGCATGGTTTCAGCTAGCATGGTCATTTTTTTTTTTTTTTTTAATTGTACTTCAGGTGAAGGCTTACAGAACAAATAGTTTCTCATTAAACAGTAGTACACATATTGTTTTATGACATTGGTTAACAACCCCACAACATGTCAACCCTCTAACTTCTCAACCTAGCCAAAGATACACATAACCAAAGATACACACTATTTCAAAAATTTCTACATGCACAGTTCAGTGACATTGACTACGCTATTCCAATTGTGCTATTATTCTCACTTAAGATGAAGGCTTACTGAACAAAATAGTTTCTCATTTAACAGTCACCACAAATGTTGCCCTATGACAATGGTTAACAATCTCACAACACATCAACACTATCCTTACTCAACCTTGGGTTCCCTATCACCAGCTTCCTTGTCCCCTTCTGCCTTCCGGCCCTTGTCACTGGACTACTGTACCTCGTTAGTCTCATTTGGTTTTATGGGGCTGTCCACTCCCAGGCTGAACAGTGAACCTCAGAGATAACTTCACCACTGAGCTAAAAGGGTGTCTGGGGGCCATACCCTCGGGGTTTCTCCAGTCTCCTTTAGGCCAGTAAATCTGGTCTTCTTTTTTGTGAGTTAGAATGATGTTCTACATCCTTCTCCAGCTCTGTCCAGAACCCTCTGTTGTGATCCTGGTCAGCGCAGTTAGTGGTGGTAGCCGGGCACCATCTAGCTGTACTGGACTCAGTCCGGTGGAGGCCTTGGTAGCTGTGGACAATTAGTCCTTCGGACTAATCTTTTCCTTGTATCCTGTTCTCTTCATTCTCCCTTGCTCCCGAAGGGATGAAACCAGTGGAGTATCTTAGATGGCCACTCACCGGCTTTTAAGGCCCCAGACACTACTCACCAAGGTAGAATGTAGAGCATTGTCTTTATAAGCTGTGTTATAGCATGGTCATTTTTATAACTTCATGTGTGCAAAGCAAGGACTGTCTGTATAGGAAAAGATATTTCAGTAAGTTTTATATCTAGTCATAAAGGTGGAGTTTGCTGATATGTATTATACTCTGGAATCAAATTAAAATTATCAGCTCATCAAAACCCATTGCCCATTGCCGTCAAGTTGATTCCGACTCATCAACTCATCAGACACTTAATTTAGAATCGTGCTGTTCCAAATCCCTGTTTAGGGCTCCTCCTAGTTTTTGGAGTCCTGGGGGCACAGTGGTTAAAAGCTTGGCTGCTAACCAAAAGGCTGGCAGTTCGAATCCACCAGCTGCTCTTTGGAAACCCTATGGGGCAGTTCTACTCTGTCCTATAGGGTTGCTATGGGTTGGAATCAACTCAACGGCAGTAGGTTTTTTATGATAGTTTGCATCCTTTGTGAGGTAAATGTGATCACCACTACACTACAGAAACAGTCTGTATCCTTTGTGTCAATAGATATTATGAACACATACTGGTACTATTTTTGGTGGACCATAAAAATGGATCTGCAACTGTATGTAACAAATTACAATGCATCTTTCTCACGTGCTTTGGATAATTCTCTATTTACATCTTGAAGCAATTTGACACTTCTGGGGATAACTGTTTTGCTTGTTACAAATCCATTTCCTCTCTGTGTATATCCTGGCACTACTGATACCATTGTCATTCAGGTAGGCACGTTCTCCAACTCCTCTGATGATAAACCTAAAACAAAACACAAAAACACTAATTATTCATAGGTTGGACATCTACATTAGCTCCTCCACTGTAATCTTCAGAAACCCCCCCTCTAGATGTTTTTTATGCCAATAAAAGAAAACCAAAAGTCTGTCATTAATATGGCTCCTTAATATCTCACGTCATTTCTCTATTTAGTTCCTTTTATATTCTCAAGGGCCCTGCTTAAATATCACAATTTATCATTCATCCATAGCATACCCAGGTATGTTGTTGTTTAGGTATTCAACTGGTGTTTACTGTTGCACCCAAATAGACTGTTACCGTGTATGGCCCTCAATGAAGATTATTTTCAGTCTTCTTCTGAACTGCTTCATAAATATGTGAAAATAAAAAATTTTACTTGCTGGCAAATTCCTAAAAGGTCTTAACTTTGATTGATGGAGATGACTGGACTCGCACAATATATCTTCAATAAAACGGTTACATTCAAAATATCTCATTGAAATATTCATTACCCAAGGAACTGTTAATAGGTTTCTTCTGGCGATAAAATTTTAGAAAGATCTCTATAGATTCCCTAGTGATCTTCCTTTTATGAATGGATGCAGCAGCTGGAAGAGTGGACTTAGTAGCCTTGATATCAATTCTTCAGTGGTTTCCTAGGATTTTTAAACCCTCGCTGTGCATCAATTGTTGTCTCTACATTCTAAATAGGGATTTCAGCAAAGAAAAGTTTTCAGTCAATGGATGAGAGTAAGAACTTTATCAAATGCCATCATCACATTAAAGATTTCAACTGTAATTGCAGTAAGTAATGTTTTCCCAAAGCCACAGCTAGTAAATGGAAGAGCAAAAAAAAGGATCTGTATTTCCTACCTCATACTGCAGTGAGCTTTACATGACATTAAATTTCTTGTCTCATAAACACAACTGACATGCACAACCACACATTAACATAGTAGAAGGAAGAGAAGTCTCAAAACATACGAGTTATTATGTTCAGTGCCATCTGTCCACTTCCAGCTGTGACGTGGTGATTCTCTGCTAAGGCCAATCCAGTGGTCAGAAGGACCTTTGTATCTCTTCAGGAAATTCTATTATAAAACACAAAGTGAAAACATTCATCTCTTTTTCTCATATCGCTCTTAAGTCTGTCTTCCTTACAGTCTTCTCTTTTTGGATGGCAGTATGGTGTAATTGAGAAGCACAGACACTGGAGTCAGACTAGTGTCCAATTCTCAGCTTATATCATTTAATACCTGATCTTCATTAGTTACTTTATTTAAAGTGACCACATATCCCAATTTATCTGGAAAAGTCCCAGTTTATTTATGCCTGTTGTTACTGCATAATATTTCATAATGCTCACTTTCACTTCCCAAAATGTCCCAGTTTGGATGATAAATTGTATGATTTATTGTATTTATTTTATTATATTTAATTACATTTATTAGTGAAATTGGAAAAATACAACTAATAAATACATCTAATCCACAGATTAGCTATAAGAATTAAATGAATGTATCTAAAATGCCTCATAGGGTTCCAGGCATGAATATATCCTCAACGAATGTCAGACCCAAAGGTGCATCCATTGCCCTAAAGCCTGTCTGGCCAGGAATCCTTCTGTATTATATCATTCAGCTTTCATCCTCTTCAGTTCAGCTCCTCAGAGGGCTAAGTATTCAACAGAGAATGTGATCCAAAAAAAATTCTTACCAGTTCCTCCAGGATTTCGAACTGAGCAAGACTAGCTTCCATGGAGGCACAGAAGGTCTGGCTGAATGTCCAATTCCTTGTCTCTTCAGAAAAATAGTAACACTTCCCTCTAAATCCAATCCAGCTTTCTGGACAGGCAGCACATACAGAGACGTCTAAGACAGGTTCTTGTTTTCTCTCTAAGAGTTAGACAATCACAATGGATTGTAATAAATAAATGTTATCATCTCTTTTATCTGTTTACCCACTTCCTATTCTGGGGTCAATTTTGAATACGTGCAATTAGCTACATGGCTAACTCCTTCATCTCCTTCAAGAGTTTACCAAAATTTCTCAAAGGGTTTGCTACATTGGCCTACCTACGTATACTGCAACCTATTCCACCCATACCCATATTTATTAAGTTTATTACCTGTGAGTATTTCTGATAGAATGCAACTTCTATGAGAACAGAGAATTCTGTGTATTTTGTTCACTGATATATCTCAAGCACTTCACAGTGTGCCTAGCACATCATGGAGCTCAATACATATGTGCTGATAATCTAAATGTGTAGAGAATATTGTAAAATTTGGAGAACAAGTAACTTACCCACTATGATAACAGAAAGTGCAACCACAGTTGAAGTCAGGAACATAATAACGAGGAGGCAACACAAGATTTTGGCAAGTGTTACAGAGAATGTAATTGTTAAACATTTTCTTCTACCTGTAAAACATAAATGTCATCATAAAGGTTTTAGAGAGAAAAGAATCTAAATTTATCACAGAATTAACCTCTAAACTCAACTGGACCTCAACTTTCCTATTGTCAATGTCTTTCACATAAGGTCCTGCTCCATAAAGGACAGCCATGGCCCAAAGAGGGCTAGAGATAAGGGCCCTCTTTTCAAACTATTGCAGTAAGAGCTAATGAGAGAGTAAAAAATTAAAAGGGACGAGAAAAAAATTTGGATGAAAAAGAAACATATAAATAATCCAGATTTACCTCCGTAATTCTGAGACCTGGTTACATATATTGAGGGCATCATTAGAAAATCAATCACATGTAATTCATTATAGTAACAGAATGAGAGAATAAAATAATAATAATAAAAACATATGGTCATCCTAATAAATGAAAAAAAGCATGTGTTATAGGTTGAACTGGGTCCCCCCAAAATGTATGTCAACTTGGCTAGGCCATGATTCCCAGTATTGTGTGGTTATCCACCATTTTTTGACATGATGTGATTATGCTATGTGTTGTGAATCCTAACCTCTATGATGTTAATGAGGCAGGATTAAAGGCAGTTATGTTCATGAGGTAGGTCTCAATCTACAGGATTAGGCTGTAACTTGAGTCAATCTCTTTTGACTAGCAGAATCTAGTAAAAATCTAGCAAAAGGGAAGAGGGATCGCAATCCACCAAGAAAAAAGCACCGGGAGCAGAGTGCATCCTTTGGACCTGGGGTCCCTGTGCTGAGAAGCTTCTATACCAGGGGAAGATGGATGACAAGCACCTTCCCCCAGAACTGACACAGAAAGAAAGCCTTCCCTAGGAGGCAGCACCCTGAATTCAGTCTTCTAGCCTCCTAAACTATGAAAGAATAAATTTCTATTTGTGAAACCATCCATTTGTGCTATTTCTGTTAATAGCAGCACTAGATAACTAAGACAGTATGTGACAAAATTTCATGTTCATCCATGATAACGGTCAGCAAATCAGGAATTGAAGGGACCTTCGTTAACTTAACAAAGGACTCTGTGATTGTTAAGGTTGTGTGTCAACTTGGCTGGGCCATGATTCTCAGTGATTTGGGGTTATGATGTAGTTTGGCAGTCATATAATGATGTAATCGCCTCCACGATGAGATCTGATATAATGGGATCACCTCCATGATGAGATCTTCTATGAGTAGCCAAACGGTTGAAACGGAGTTTCCTTGGGGGTGTGGCCTGCATCCAATATAGATGGACTTTCTGGCAAAGGTCACTGGCTTTTGCTTGCTCTGTATCCTGCAGATGGCTTCTGTTCATCTGACCTCTAGTTCTTGGGACTTGAGCTAGCAGCTTGGCTGCCGATCTTGGCATTCATCAGGCATCCATGGTCAGGATCTTAGGTTTACCAGCCTCTGCAGCTACGTGAGTTGGGAGAAGACTCCAGCCTGACTCACGGACTTGGGACCTTCCTGTAACTACAACCACATAAGTCATTTCCTTCATATAAATCTCTTTCTTTCTCTCTCTCTCTCTATATATATATACATACATATGGACGCTTCACTGGTTTTGCTTCTCTAGAAAACTCAGCCTAAAACATTTGGTACTGAGAGTGGTTTTAGAGAAACAAAATTGTAAGGATGAGTTTTCTAAATTGGTTCTCAAGTCTGGTTAGTCTTAAAGATGTTGATGACTCTGCTTCCAGTAGCAAAGAGGTCTCTGCTAATTCATGGAGTGAGGTGGCAATAGAAATATGCGCGGTGTCACCACCAATAGATTAAGTATTGGTGAGAAGCAAGGCTCTAGGTGACTGCATGTTTGATACCTTTCTATAATTTTGTAATAAGGAGAAGTATAAGGAAGCTGGTTGATTGGTCCTACTTTCACTAGACAACGAGGTGAAAGACAGAGATGAGGTCAGGGCTTTAGAGTCAAAGCTCAAGTGCTGCATAAATGACTTCAAAGTTTTCACTTGTGCCTTAAAAGAAAGCCTTATTTCTTGTTATTACAGAGATGACATTGATGAAAACCAAACCAGAGTCTTATCATAGAGTGGCTGAATTACAACACCACCTCAACTGCCAACCTTGAGAGGTGTCTGAAGTTAAAGTGAGGGCATTGATAGGGAAGAAATGGTATCCTGAAGCTTGGGATTGGCACATATGGGCAGATAATCAGAAAGCTGAGGATACTGAGCCAACAGAACCAGCCATCTCACGCCCATCTGAAGAGACTGTTCTTTGTTTGTCTGCTAAACCACCCTACCCAATAAAACCATTATCCCCTCCACCCCCATCTGATGAGATTAACCCAGCTGTGTCTGAAAAGCCTTTGTCTGAGTCATTGCGTGGGACATCGCCTGAGGCAGATGCCTTACAAGAAAATGCTGAATGTTGTCAAAACACATTCCAATCACCCATTTTGGCTTCTAGACCTGTAAGTAGACTTAAGTCCCAGCAAGACCAAAAGGTGAAGTACAAAGTGTGACCCAGGAAGAGGTATGCTACACTCCAAAAGAACTGCTTGACTTTTCTAATATGTACAAGCAGAAACCTGCGAATATGTATGCGAATGGCTATTAAGGATGCAAGGAACATAAAGATGGATTAGGCTGAGTTTACTGATATGGGCCTACTAAGCATAGGTTCTTCATTCAATGTTTCAGCTCGAGAGGTTAGGAAAGGATCTAATAATTTAATTGGTTGAGTTGCTGAAGCATGGATTACATGGTAGCTAACACTAAATCAAGTTGAAAACCAGACCTGCCTTGGTATATACTGTAGAAGAAAGTAACCAAAGGCTTCAGGAAATTGGCATGCTAGAGGAGATTTATCAGGTTAGACCACAGACCCAAACATGGAGTGCCCAGAGGACACACCTTTTACCACAACAGTTAGGAACAAATTTGTGAAGAGAGCCCCAGGATCATCGAAGACTGCTGTGATTGTTATTTTATGTAAACCAGATTTGACAGTGGTAACTGCCCTAACTGAATTAACACACCTAATTACAATGGGGCTGATTGAATCCTGTGGTGGTAGGGACTAAGAGGCAGCACTCAATCGACAAAGATAAGGTGGGTGTGGTTACCGTAATGGACAGCGGAGTCAAAGTAGTAATCAGAAATAGTCTCATTCCTATGGACCTATGGTGTTGGCTACTTAGTCATGGTGTCCCTAGCAGTGAAATAGATAGAAAATCTACTAAATATATACTTGATCTGTACAAGCAAAGAATTCTAGGTCTAGTGAACAGTAGTCTAACTTGAATTGCCAGAATAGAGTGTCACAGCCCCACAATCAATTCCCAGACTTGAGCGAGTTTAAAGACTCAAACCCCCTGAATGAAGGGGAGGTCAGGTTCCCTTGAGGAAGGACCCCACTACACTGCCAAAAATTTATACTGTTCATCTTTTTTCCACCCTTCCCCAAAGGGATCTACGGCCTTTTTTGAAAGTGACTGTTGATTGCCGATAAGGAAAAAAGCAGACTTTCTGGGAGTTACTGGATACTGGCTCTGAACTGACACTAATTCCAGGATTCCCAAAACGTCACTGTAGCCCACAAGTCAGAGTGGGGACATATGGACTTCAGGTTAATAGAGTCTTAGCTCATGTCCGTTTCACAGTAGGTCCAGTGGGTCCCCAAACCCATCCTATAGTCCCAGTTCCAGAATGCATAATTGGAATAGATATACTCAGCAACTGACAGAACCCCCCACTGGATCCCTGACAAGTGCAGTAAGGGCTATTATGGTAGGAAAAAACCAAGTGGAGGCCATTAGAACTACCCCTACCTAGGAAAATAGTAAACCAAAAGCAATACTGCATTCCTGGAGGGATTGCAGAGATTACTGCCACCATCAAGGACTCAAAGGATGCAGGTATGGTGATCCCCATTCAACTCACTTATTCGGTCTGTGCAAAAAACCGATGGAGAATGACAGTGGATTATCAAAAACTTAACCAGGCAGTGACTCCAACCACAACTGCTGTTCCAAATGTAGTTTCATTACTTCAGCAAATTAATACATGTCTTGGGAGCCCTGGTGGAACTGTGTTAGGCATTTGGCTGCTAACCAAAAAAGGTCAACAGTTTGAATCTACCAGCCGCTCCTTGGAAACCCTATGGGCAGTTCTACTCTGTCCTATAGAGTCACTACGAGTCGGAATCAACTTGACAGCAGCGAGTTTCTTTTTTTGTTGGTACCTGGTATGCAGCTATTGATCTGCCTAATGACTTTTTCTCTATACCTGTTTCAAAGGACCACCAGAAGCAGTTTGCCTTCAGCTGGCAAGGCCAGCAATACAACTTCACTGTCCTTCCTCAGGGATATATCAACTCTGCAGCCCTATGTCATGATTTAGTCTGCAGAGACCTTGATTACCTTTCCCTTCCATAAGACATCACACTGATCCATTACACTGATGACATTATGCTGATTCGACCTAGTAAAGAAGTGTCAATGACTCTGGACTTTCCGGTAAAACATTCGTATGCTAGAGGGTAGGGGATTAATCTGACAAAAATTCAGGTGCCTTTCACCTCCGTGAAATTTCTAAGGGTCCAGTGATGTGGGGCATGTCAATATATTCCTTCTAAAGTGAGGGATAAGTTACTACATCTGGCCCCTCCCACAACTAAAAAGGAAGCACAATGTCTAGTCAGCCTCTTTGGATTTTGGAGGCAACATCTCTCTCATTTGGGTGTACAACTCTGGCTTATTTATCAAGTGACTCAAAAAGCTGCTAGTTTTGAGTGGGGACCAGAACAAGAGAAGGCTGTGCAACAGGTTCAGGCTGCCGTGCAAGCCACTCTGCCACTTGGGCCATATCATCCAACTGATTCAGTGGTGCCTGAAGTGTTAGTGACAGATAGAGGTGCTGTTTTGGAGTCTTTGGCAGGCCCATATTGGTGAACCATAGCTCAGACGCTTAGAATTTTGGAGCAAAGCCCTGACATCCTCTGCAGATAACTACTCTCCTTTTGAGAAAAGCTTTTGGCTTG